ATGTGCTTTAAATAAGAAAGCACATTTTGTGGCCCACGTCCTGTTTCTTTGAATAGATACCATCAATCAAAAATATATTTGTCTATTTTTAATGAAATCTACTAAAAATAAACTGCTATCAATATTTACATGTATAAAGATTATATTCAAATAATTGGAACAAATTTTGCTTTTGCTAGAAAAATAATTATTAAAATGGATTTCTGCTCAGAATCCTCCAGTTGAGCAAAAAGAAGAATATGATAAAGTGAGGCAGATACATATAAACTATATAGACAATGAATGGAAGAGGCATACGTAAATGTCTCTTTCAAGGTAATTTTACCACCATTGTGCATTATTCTTCATCTTTTAAGTAAAACAATTTGAAAGAGCTATGTAAAGACATTTTTTATTATATACATATAGTTGCAAAGATCCAACACATTTAAAATACAATCTTTACATATATCCTGCTAGGTCATACTGAATCTAAGGAATCTTTTTTTCATTTCCTAATGATTTTGTTTTAAAGGCTAAAACACATTGATTTGTTACTTCAGGATAGAATATTATTTGGGTTTCCAAATATAAATATCTGAGTTGTATCAACTTTTTTAAAATCATAAAAATTTCCAAGTACAAAGGAATTGTACATAAATGGTCATACCTTTCTCTCCTTGTCTTTTCTAATTTGTCTTTCAATATCATAATTTCTTTTTTGAGAGCAAGTTGTTGGACCTCTGCATCACGGAATTCCTTCTTCAGATTTTTTAATTCATTAGAATGTATTACTTCTCGTTTAGACAGTTCTTCTTCATAAAAAACAATTTTCTTTTCCAAGTCAGCTTTTAATTTTGTTATTTCCTGCTGATGTTCTGTGCTGCTCACCCCTGGAGACCAACCAATTTGCTTCTGCTACAAAAAAGGGACATTTCAAAATTAGTTTTTATGATCTGGAAAATTCTGACATACAGTATAAATAGGAATAATTCATCCTTGAAGGTGAAAAAAATGAAAATGAAATTGGTTGACACTGATTTTAAAATAAAATTTAATAAACTGCATTTCACTGGATTGCTTTTGTTCCTCAACTGAACTTCCTCGTTGATAAATGCATAACAAATTATGAACTTAATTATCCATTCTTTCAACATTAACAATAGGAAATAGACCACTGCAAAATAGTTCCTACTATAGGATTCCAATGGATGTACAGAATCTAGGTCATTACCATTCTGCTGGGAGGGCAGGGGTGTTTCATGACTTCTTGGGTCATTGTTTCAGTTATTTCCTTACCAAAGACCTCATTCCTCAATGATAGATTTCTATACATTTTAATTTGCCTTCCATTTAAAGACATTCAAAATAAGCTATTGTAAATTATAATAACTTGTAAGTCTCATACCCCTGCATCAGACAAAGGCACTCACACGCTTTAAAATGGTAAAACCAATAAACACTAACCTTTAGTCCTTCTAATTCATTTTCCAGCTGCTTAGAATATTGCTCACTTCTCTCACGCAGCTTTCTGTCCTTGGATGCCTCAGCAGCTGCAGCTTCAGCATGAACTTCCAGCTACAAATATAATTTTAAAATCATAAACATTCATTTTAGCATTGCTATTCCTTACTAATGCACCAGAAACTTCTGGATTCATATACATATATAATTCTATCATAATGATGATATCAATAAGTATATTTAGAAGATTAAAAATGAATTGCAGAGTCTGTTATTTACCAATTACCATTGTTTAATAAACTAAAAGACAAACACATTAATTTAAGTTTAAGTGAACTTTCTTGTGTAATACTATCCCTAAGGTAAATTTTTGAAATTTTTAAAAAAATTGACAGACAGATAGATGGATGGATGGACAAATGAAACTTACTTCTTTCTTTATTCTGTCTGTTCTACGTAATTCTTGCTTCAAGCTTTCTGCCTTTTGCATTACCACTTCCATCTCTTCTTCTTTATCTCTAACTTGGCGGGTAAGCTTTTGTTTTTGTGAATGCAATTCCGTAAGTCGCTCATTCATTTCAGAGAATTCCTGCATGGCCAGTTTCCGTTGGCTATGTGCATCTTTCAGTTCTTTGGTTTGTGCCTTTAACCTCTCATTGGAGTCAAGCAGTTCCTGCAATCAGAAACAAAATATGACATATCCTTAAATATTAGCTTTCAATCACTAAATAGGGTTAAAACAAGTAAGACATACAATTTGCAGAAAATAAAAAGATAAGTAGAAAAGAAGTTAAAAATGAAAAGCTACATCCATTGAAACTTTAAAACTAAGGGAAAAAACAGAACCAGATATTGATGGCAAAACACTTGAATAAGGTCTTTTTACCTCATAAACCACCTCCAGGCCGGACTTACTTGCTAAAACCAAGTTTTAATACCTTTCTAGAAGGCCAAAAAGGATGGGAACAATTCTCACATCTGGTGATAAGAGTGTTCCACAGAGTTGGGATCACAGCATAATAGGTCCTTCTTGACCCCACTCACCAAAATTCCTTAGCAGATGAGGTCTGCAGCAGGTCTCTTCTGCTGCTGTAAACAGAGCAGACTAATCCCATTGGGGTGAGATGGGCTCCTCAGATACCCTGGATCCATACATTAGGGCTTTAAAGGTAATAATCGAAGCTTGAACTGGACCCAGAAGCAAAATGGTGTCCAATGCAGCTTGTGCAACAGCCGTGTTATACATTACACTATAGGGCCCTAGAAATGTTTGTGCCTTTCATTCTGCATCAGCTGTAGTTTCTGGATACTCTTCAAGGGTAGCCCATAGGGCATTGCAGTAATCCAACCAAGAGATGACTAGGGCATGAGTGATCATATGCAGGACCTCACAATCCAGATAAGGGTGCAACAGGCACACAACATGAAACTGTGCAAAGTCCCTCCTAGCCACGATTGCCATTTGCTCTTTGATCAGGAATCGTGAGTCCAGGAGTACCCCAGATTGTGTACTGGGTCTGTCTGCATCCCCATCCAGAACTAAAGATGATAAATAACCAGATCCTGAGGACTCCAGCACCCCCGTCCACTTCATCTTGCCAGAATTCAGTTGAAGCCTGTTATCCCTCATCTAGGTCTCTACAGTCAACAGGCACTGAGAAAGGACAGACACAGCATTGCTCGGATCACTTTTTAAAATAAAGAATAAGCTAACATAGTAACGTCTATGAAAACACAATCAATAGTGTATGGCCATAAAAAATTCCATTAGCAACATGCCTCTATTTAATCCCTAACATTCTATATATTATATGAAGTTCAGATTTATCTTTTCCCAAGAAGAAGACAGCAAAGGATGTAGGTTTATTTTTTACTATCTGTTTTTATGTTGATACAGAAAAGAAAGCAATTCTAATTTTTATTCTGCACTAAGGAGTTAGATGTTATAAGTCAAAGAACCTTGCTTTCTGATTTAATCACATATACATGTTGCTACTTGTTGTTAGTGAGCAAATTTTTGTGTGACTTTCTACCTATCATCAAACAACATTCAGCATCTAATATACATTTAGTTAATATAAACATGGACATTAACATAGGTGACTGCTTCTTTCTATTATCTTAGAACACCTAACCAATTTAAGTATTTATTATAATTAATCATACACAATAATGGATTGTAGATTAATTTAAATTACTTTCAAATGTTTTATCACAGATTTTTATGGTGGTTTTTACTAGATAATTTAACCTTCAAAGTTAATTTTCAGATTACAAAATTCAAATATTCTCCTTTCTCTCTGTGCATTCATACACAAATACAGGATGTCTGAATGTTATTTATGTCACTAATCCCAAACTTTGTATATGTTACTTTAGAATAGAATAGAATAGAATTCTTTATTGGCCAAGTGTGATTGGACACACAAGGTATTTTACCTTTGGTGCATATGCTCTCAGTGTGCAAGACAAGATACATTTGTCAAGAATCTTAAGGTATAGTTGGTATAGTTCTTCCATGATCTACCCCATAATGAACAATCTTACCTGAGTTTAAGAAAGCTTTCTGTATAAATATAGCAGTGAACTTCTGAAGTGGTTTAAAATGTGGAATCAATCATACAGAACTGCTCATGTAGTAACATTTGTAACTATTTTTAATAATAATCATTTTAGAAATACTATCAAATGCAGATAGATAAAGTCATATGGCCAAATCATTTTGATGTTTGATGTTAAGATGATTGAATAGAGAGGTGAAGTAGTCTAAAACTAAAATAGAAATAAAAAATGTTGATCGGATTGTTTATACCTTATTAAGATCATCCCGCTCTTGCTTTAGTGCTTTTACTTGCTTCTCATAAGTTTTGATGTGTCTGGTAGCATCTTCTAAATCTCTTTGTGCAGAACTGGCTTCTTCAAGTTGCTGCTCTAATTGCCCAGAATCTATAAGAGAAAATTACTGAGAAATATAAAACACTAAAATAGAAGTCTTACTGCTACTTCTCACAACAGAAGAGTTGATGTTTAGATACTATTTGTCAGTTTGTATATGTGAAGTGTTGACTATGGTAGCAGGACTTTCTGCCAGTTAAAATGAGAGGTAAGTGATCCTGCCTCCATTTCTTCTTCAAATTGTGTCTTCTGGAAAATGAGCTCCAGACTAAGGTTAGGGATTAGTGTGGGGTCTGTGGTCAATTTTGCTAATTTTAGATTTTCTCTTCCTAGATCAGAGAATTCCCTACAATGTCATGGTGAGAATTTCACCTCTGTATTATTTTATAGAAATGGGATACTGTTTCCTGGGGAGCTTAGCATTGTTAAAAATAATTATAAAGTTTTAATTTAAAAACTCCAAGTTGATCACAATTTTCTTTCTTCATAAATCAATTAAAAACAAAATAGTAACTTCCTATTAAATAAAGGCCTTTTTAAACGGGAATGTCCAAATTTCGTGGAAGGTCATTAATACAGGGTATGAGATGGCCTTCCCTAGGTAGGTGGTTACAGATCCTAGGTGTACGAAGCCTCTAAAGATAAAATGTAAACATATCCTAGTTAATGCCATTGGTAATTCTAGTGGGAGACATATTTTTCTGATATATCTTGTGTGCATAATAATATGAGTAATCTGAATTAAAAAAACACTGTATTAGTTGTCAAAAGACCCACAGACTTAACAGGAACCAATATCATTACACCCTGAATCCACTTGTTATAAAATGAGACATTAACTGTGACAAATGCCCACCAGAATAAGAAATTCATTTCTCACTCTGAAATATCTATTCCAGTGTTTTTCAACCACTGTGCCGTGGCACACTAGTGTGCTGTGACATAGTGTAAGGTGTGCCGTGGGAGAATTACTTTATATATAGTCAATATAGGCACAGAGTTAAATTTTTTTAACATTTTCTAATGGTGGTGTGCCTCGTGATTTTTTTCATGAAAAAAGTGTGCCTTTGCACAAAAAAGGTTGAAAAACACTGATCTATTCTATACTGATGAGAAATAAAACTGAATAGAAAAAAATAAAGAATTTCTACCTAGAAGAAACCATATGGGGGCCCTTATGCTTTCTTAACATTTTCTTTATTATTTTTGGTACAATATCAACTCATGGGTGTTGTCTTTAGAAACCCCCCCCCACACACACATAAAATCAAGTTAATATCTGTGTTTGGTTGGTTGTGCAATTTTGCCTCCATCTTACTTATTTCTGTTAATTCAGAATAGGAACAGAGGACAGATGACAGAGCTATGAAAACATGAGCATGCTGAATATGCAGAGATAATAACTGGGATTAACAGGAAATAACATAACCAGGAATAAATAAGATCTTTGAAGTCACCATGTTGAAACAATAGAACCCACAATATTTAGTTTTAAAATTGATAAACTTAATTCTAAATAAATAAGGAAAAACATTCAAATCTCTACAAATAAACTTTGAATTCAGATTTTAAATACCCTTGACTAAGTAAACATGAAATTCTTATCTGAAACGGTTAATTTCATGATATTCATCTTCATGAAATTCAGAATCACAAGTTGTAATGCAGGTAATGCTATTATTTTCTCTTAAGAAAAATGTAATAAGATATATTGCATAACATTTACACATAGCAGTTAGGTGAGATACTGTCTAAGCCAAAAGCTTTGGTGTATAATTTAGTAAATTAAACAGAAGGGTGCTTAGTTTTTTGTGTGCATGTTCTTAAAATCATCAGAAGTGTTGCCTTACTCAAGACAAAATTTTGTAGTTCACATCTTATTATACATAGTTGACTTTAATTACTCCTAATTAAAGGAAGGTAAATTAAATAATTAAAACTCTAATTCAATGTAATATTTATTACATTTATGTTATTTTTTCTGAAACTGCAAAAGAAATCTACTCCCCAAGTTTTTATTTTTAAAACAAATTAGCAGTCACTTAAAAGAAATAAAGGATGCACACAGAATATTAATCATTCATTTTCATTATGTATAGTATCTTGAGTCTAATTTATCCTAAAGCGTCCATTTGTTTTTGCTTCAGACATATTGCCAAGATGCTGACAGAGCATTTTCTGGGGAACAAGAAATAATATAGACGAAGCTATTTGAAATTTCAAATAGAACAAATTCTAGGTTTTTTTTTACTGTGTTGTTCATAAAAATATGGGAATATTTCAACTGCATTTCAAAATGTTTAGTCTTACAGTCTACAGACAGCAGAGTGCAGAGCAGCAGAGATCTTGGAGTTCAGGCAGGCAAGAGTGATTGTGGCTGGGACTGAAATTTGGGAGAAAAAAGGTGAGTGGAGTAAATTGGAGCAGAAAGGGATATCAAGACTGGAATGACTTGAATTGGGACAAGTACTTGCTTAACAATCCACAATTCTCAGTTAATGATGACAGCAGATATTCCCTTAAAATTTAAGAGAATTCCCCCTTCCCTTAAAAATATAGATCTATAGTCTCGAAGTGCTCCTTGATGCCACAGTTGTTACAGTGCATTTACAGTGCATCTACTGTAAGAACTGTAATTTTTCTATAGCTATTTGGATCTGGCAATGAATACCAAAGCCTTGGCTAAATCACTGTTAGATTATAAAGTGTCTATGTAAGACTACTCTTGAAGAATGCCTGGAATCTCTGTCATGCAAAATGGAGCAGCTAAGGTGATGACACTAAGACAGATTGATTTTATGCCTTCCAGGCAGACTGGATTCTTGGCAACTGCATGGACAATGCACTTTTCTTGGCAACATTTTTTGGAAGTGGTTTGCCATTGCCTTCTTCACAGAGCTAAGAGAAAGTGATTGACTGAAAGTTACTTAGTTGGCTTTGTGCCTATGGCATGGCAGGCAATAACTCACAATTTCTGGCCTTTAATCACTATACCAAACTGGCACTGTCATTAGCAACACCTGCACAATGAAAATAGTTCTGGGCACTACTACAGATACTAAGTAATCAGAAATCTGTAGAACCTTTTTCCAATTAGCAACTTGGAAGGTTGCTAAAAAGGCTTATTGCTTAAGAGCTTATTGCTCTTAATAAAATCTATTAGTCAATAAATGTACAATCATATTTATGAGTTCTGATACTATCTTCCACAAAAATATTAAGATCATACTATGTTAATTTTGATAAATTAATATAGGGATAATTCAGGAGTTTTTGATTTTCAAATCCCTCAAAATCTCAGGGCCTGAATATCTGAGTGACAGCTATGAAACTATATTAGAAGCTCACTTCGCAAGAGAGGCCTTTTTCTTGTACAATGACCAACTTATGGGATGCATTCCCTTAGAAGATACACTTAATCTTCATTTTTTATGGGTTAAAAAGGAATTCTTAATCTTTCTTTTCATCCAAGCCCTTTAAATTATTTTGATTGTTTTAAATATTATTTTTTGAGTTTTGAAATCCAAACTTTAAAGGTTTGAATCTGAACTTTAGATGAAGTTGGTTAAAAGATAATGGAAGAATGTGCAGAAGCAGCTCCTTTACTTTTCCCCTCTACAGACTTGGGTGATACTCTCACCCAAAATATTAGGCTTGAAATATTCTAGATATGCTATTATGAAAATGGAAAACTCTATATATGGAAATCACAGGGAACAGAATTAAGGATCAGAAACTCTACTTTGTAACTGTGACTAGGATATTTGATGGATTTATAAAATCTCCCTTTACAGCTAGCAATTATTACATGCTTTATTATAGTGACTTGTGTAATAAGATTTCTCATCTATCTTTTTGCCATTAGTGAATTCCAATATCACCTAGAATCTTTACTTTTATAAGAGCAGAAAATAAAAGAACAAACAATACACTCCATGTTTTTATTCAAGGCAGCAAATTAACCATGCCCTCTTGTTATCATCTTATTTGCTAACCTGGACATATTCTAGTAATTGTGGCACTCTCATTTTTTCATTTTGGTTATCCCTTTCTCTACCATTTTTGAGATAGGAGTACTAATCTGAACACAGAATCTAAATGAAATGCAAATGGTATTACATTAATTCAGCAAAGAAGTCACCATTACCATACTCAAATATAAAACAAGCCCAAGTCCTGCAGTGATATATTATTGTGATAAAGGGGCTATCCTTGTAGGGACAGTAAAGAATGCTGGAGGGTGTGCCAAAAATATCCAAGCAGAACAAGCCATGGCATTAAAATTATCCCAGATACTCATAAGCACCTATATCAGATAGCAGCTATTTAGCAATAGCACTTAGACTTATATACCACTTCACAGTGCTTTACAGCCTGTCTCAGCATATTGTCCCCAACAATCTGGGTCTCCATTTTATCAACTTCAGAAGGATGGAAGGCTAAGTCCACCTTGGGCTGGTCAGAATTGAACTCCTGACAGTTGGCAGAATTAGCCTGGAATACTGCATTTTAATCACTGTGCCACCATATAGAAAGTTGCTAGAAATACATAATCGTTTTACTGTCTATTTATTTATTGCATTTATATGCCACCCATCTTGCCATCAAGAGATTCTGGCAAAAATGGGATTCAATAGGAAGTTCTCCAGCTGAGCAGACGTGAGGGATGTGAGCTCTGAAAAGCCTCATATGAACCCTGTCTGACAAAGCAACTCCGGGGATCCTTTTTTCGATCAGAACCCCCCTCGAGGGGGGAGGGCGAAGAAGGGGTAGCATCTTATCAGACCCAGGGGGAGGCAACAGGTCCCTCGCAGATCAGAGATTTGCTCTCTGAATTGGAGTAGGGGCGGCAACATGGCTGCACAAGGAGCTGGCTTCCAGCCAAAGCAACTGAATAGGAGGGTGAACTCAAGATGAAAGACAGGTAAAAAATTCATTTAACCCACAGTCATAAATCAAAACTTGGAAAAGGCAAAGAATCTTGAGAGTACAAATAATATTAATAGACAGATCTGGATTTTGGTAAAAGGAAAGAAAGAAAGGAAAATGGAGGGTTGAAACACTACCCCCGCCCCTCCAAAAAGACATTTGTTTGAAACAATTCGGACAGAAAGGGAGAAAGCAGTGAAGTGACAAATCCACTCAAATTCAAACTCTAAATTTGGTTTTGAATTTGAAATAGAAACCAAACATTCTGAAGGAATTACTTCATCCGAATGTCTTCCAACTAATATATCTTAAGCAACTCTAATTAATAAGAGGTGGAATGCAACAAGGGAGAAAGATAAAAAAAGGACTATTTTCTCACTGACAACTGATAACCTAATCTTGCCTGTGCGGGAAGTTTTAATTAACCAACTCCCATAAATCAGAACTTGGAAAAACAGGACGTGAAAGAAACATACCTGGGTTTGGCTGTATGCAAGTGTGTTCCAATTTATATATTTTGAGCAACTGTGGCCAATGAGAGGTGGAGAGTGGCAAGGGGAAAAATAATAACAAGGTCAAGAGCTGGGAAAATACGAAGTTTTTTTCTTTTTTTCTGCAAAAGATCAACATGGCTCCAGCTTCTCTTCCATTTTCATATTAGTTGAATTAGCTAAATTTAAGGTGAACCAGAACTTTGAAATAAGATCTGTACAACTAACTGCAATTTTGGAACTGGACATTAAGGAAGAACAAAAGTCCAAATTGGCTCCCATCATTCTCCACAGCAGTTGAATTAGAAAAATTCAAGGTGGACCAGAACTCTGAAAGAAGAACTGTATAATTAACTGTAACTTTGGAACTAGACATTATGGAAAGGTGGGAATTTGAAGAACTACGTGAAATTATAAAAAATATTCATAAATCATTAAAATCAAGGTTAAATAGAATTCTAAATTCAGAGAAGCAGGTATTTAAAGAAGAAGGGAAGGAAGAAGGGGGGAGATAATGAAGGGTAGAAATGGTTGGAAATAAAAAGCAGACAAAAAACTCCATTGGGTTTGGCAGTGGTATAGGGAAAATTGAAAAGGATGGATGTGTCCCAACGAAAGAAAATAAAAAGCAGACAAAAGATGTTTCAGTGATTCACAGTGGCATAAGGAAAATTGAAGAAGGAGATTACGCCCCAACAAAGGGAAATGTAAAAGATTTCTTTGATGGTGGTTTGGGGAAAATTGAAGAGGGTGGACATGTAGAAACAAAGAAAAGGGAGAAGGCAATAATAGAGAAGTGGGACAAAAGACTTACTAGGAACAACTAGAAATTGTTATATGGGAAAATACAAAGCTGAGATAAGGGATCTCTAAATTTGTGACAATAAAATTAAGTCGCTGATTGATTATGATAGTGGAAAGATAATGAAATAAAGGTTAAAATATATGGAATATGGACAAATATGAAATTGATATGGGGTGATTGTAAAGCAGAGGTTTGTGATTCATTTTTATACATGATAATTAAACTGAGTTGCTAATTGATTGAATATGACAATAGAAGGACAATTAAGCATGGGTCAAAATATACGAAACATGGACATATAGAGAACTTCTAAGATGATGAACAAAGTGAGATGTGTACCGCTTGTTATTCTATATATTAGATTAAGGGAATTGTGATGAACATTGAACAATAAGAATTGCCATTTATAGATAATTAAGGGTAACCTAAACCAAAATATGGAAAAATGGAGAGGGAACATGAAATATACTTACAATAGGAAACTAGTGAGATTTAAAGACAGAATCACAAATTGGGGGCGTGTAAGGATGCATAATTATATAAATATAATGATGAAAATAGCTGGGAATTGTAACCAGGTCTACATCCCACCCAAAATTAGGCAGGTTGTTTTTAAAAGTATAATGACTATATATGTATACTTTTTTTCTCTTTTTTTAAAAAAAGGAGGAAGATATATGTTAAAATTAAATATGTATATTGAAAAGGAATTATAAATACCATCAACATAAAATGGAGCTCGCTCAGAAGCTGAAATACACCAAGTGAATGAGATGAAGAGTGTGAAGTAGAGGGGAGAGGTAAGGAAAGAAGAGAGGGATAGGAGAGAGGGCAAGGGGGAGGAAGAGGAGAAGAGAAAGAAGGAGTAGAAAGGGGAGAGAGGAGAAGGAGAGATGAAGGGAAAGTAGAGAAGAGAAGGGCGACAGAGGGAAGAAAGGAGGTAGGGACGTGGAGGAGAGAGGGAGAAGAAAGTAATGGATAAGGTACAAATATGATGTATGGAGAGCAGAAGAGCCAATAATTGTTTTTGGAAGTTGATGGCAAGATGAAATGATGTAAACATGTTGACTATGTAATAGTACACATGTGGTTATATGTTATGAAAATGAAAAATTAAAAAAATAATATATAAAAAAGAGACTCTGGCAAAAATGGCAAAAGCATCATTTCATAGTGTGTGGGAGAAAGGTAATGGTAAATCACTCTTGTATTTTAGCAAGCAAATCACATTGAGAGACAAGATCAAATGACTTGCAATGTAGTGCTGATGATGGGCCTCTTATGCTGAGAAGCTCTTAACATGCTACTGAGGAATATAATCAAAGGGGTTTTTTTGAGCAACAATGGGCTTTATGATACAACTAAGTTAAAACGTTTTGGCTACTGCTATGCAGGGAAAGAAAATCTGCAGTTGCCAAAACTGAAATACAGTGGGAACATGGAATGTGAAAGATGAACTGGAAAAGCTTAATATCGTGACAGATTAAACGAACTGGCTACACATTGATATCTTACGCATCACTGAATTGAAAAGAACGAAAACTGGATATTTTCAGTCAGAAGATCATACTGCTTACTACCCAGGACACAAAAAACCAAAAAGGATAGTGTTGCTTTCATTATTAGAAAGGCTATATAGCAAAGACAGTATTTAGGTACAATATATTTAGGTAAATGCAGTCAGTTGACAAAATCAATTGCAGGACAGCCTTCAGTTATCAGCGTTTATGCTCCAACCACTAATGTAGAAAAATATGAAGTTGACTAATTTAATGGCCAAATCTCTCTCTCTCTCTCTCTCTCTCTCTCTATAAATGGCTGTGTGTGTGTGTGTGTGTGTGTGTGTAACTCTGGAACGCCTTGAGCAATTTCAACCAAACTTGGTACACAATACAATACAATAGCAGAGTTGGAAGGGACCTTGGAGGTCTTCTAGTCCAACCCCCTGCCTAGGCAGGAAACCCTATACCATTTCAGACAAATGGCTATCCAACATCTTCTTAAAGACTTCCATTGTGGGGCATTCACATTTTCTGGAGACAAACTGTTCCACTGATTAATTGTTCTAACTGTCAGGAAATTTCTCCTCAGTTCTAAGTTGCTTCTCTTTGTTTAGTTTCCACCCATTGCTTCTTGTTCTACCCTCAGGTGCCTTGGAGAATAGTTTGACTCCCTCTTCTTTGTGGCAACTCCTGAGATATTGGAACACTGCTATCTTGTCTCCCCTAGTCCTTCTTTTCATTAAACTAGACATACCCAGTTCCTGCAACCATTTTTCATATGTTTTAGCCTACAGTCCCCTAATCATCTTAGTTGCTCTTCTCTGCACTCTTTCTAGAGTCTCCACATCTATTTTACATCGTGGTGACCAAAACTGGATGCAGTATTCCAAGTGTGGCCTTACCAAGGCATTATAAAGTGGTATTAACACTTCATGTGATCTTGATTCTATCCCTCTCTTTATGCAGCCTAGAAGCAGTCGATAAGTAAGGTTTGTCTGTTGACATTATACATTGGATTATAAATGTAAAGTTGAAACATTTGTGAAGGAAATTGTTGCATGTTTGAGCAGAAAACTAGAATTTTTTTCCAATATTAAATATTGGTACTTACCAGTTACTTGTTTTCTCAATGTTTCAATTTCATCCTTCAGGCTTTTAATTTCTAAATCTTTGCTTGCTGTTAATGGACCATCTACGGTTGAATAATGTAGGGCCTGGATTGTTTGTGTGGACTCTTTAAAAAATCAAGTAAGATATAAGAAACTGTATTCAAAATTTTCAATCCATACATTTTGGCATTTCAATATATGGTATTCACTTGGGTAATATGGTGCCCAAGTATCTGTGGCCTGACAATTTTTGGACCTGATAGATTTTATAGAATCTTATAAAGATTCTATAAAACTTTCTGTCATGCCAAACCTTTGAACTTCTATAAGGAACTGACCTTCACTTTCTTCTAGCGATCAAGAACAGTAAGAAAATAAATCTTTTACTATTACATTGATCCTATTTTTTAAAAACAGTACATTAGCTAATTTACCAAGTGATGGCATTTGTGCTAAGCGTAGTTGCTTTTCTGTAACTACTGTCCAACAGGTAGATAAATTGTAGAAAAACAACTAACTGCAGCCACATAGTGCTCACTGATGGTGGTGGAGGCAAATCTTCCTGAATGGATACCACTATTTGCCAATCATAGAGGGAAAATTCACTGCTTACTAGCATTTACCACCATGGCACTGAGCCATGGTGGTGCAGTGGTTAGAGTGCAGTACTGCAGGCTACTTCAGCTAACTGCCGGTTGACTGCAATGTGGCAGTTCAAATTTCACTAGACTCAAGGTTGATTCAGCCTTCCATACTTTTGAGATAGAAAATGAGAACCCAAATTGTTGGGAGAAATATGTTGACTCTGTAAACCGCTTAGAGAGGGCTGAAAAGCACTGTAAAGCATAAGTCTAACTGCTATTGCTATTTCAACATAGAAAACCAAATGCTTTAAATCAATCTTAAAAGAGTGATTTGCTGGCAAGAGAAGGGGAAACAGAAAACGTTGAAGCCTCCTATATTGTATCCCTTTGGAAAGCAATGGAAACTAAAACATTATTTTGTTACATTCTTAAGTATCTAAAAAAAGATCAAATTTCATTAAGGGAATAAATGAACAGAACTTCAGGGAAGTCGTGTAAGCTAGATTTTTTCTACAAATCATAAACTAGGCTAAGTAAGTATTCAGTACAAATCTCTCCATAATGGGGAATGAAATGTAGACTACAGGTTTTGTTCAATCCAACATTTTAACTTTTTGTATAACCTACAATGTAAAACTAAGGTGACCAGACATCCCAATTTTGGCGGGACAGTCACGATTTCTAACCATTTGTCCCGTGTCCCGGGGCGTTTTAAAAAACTCCCGATTTTCTGGCTTCATGTTGAAAGCCCAGTGGATTTGCTTAAGAAATCCTAACCGGGG